ATCTTTCGTTTGTTCAAAAGCCCCTTTAGTTTCTGTTTTTACTTAGTCCATCCCATTTGCGTTCTTTTGTTTTGAGACCTGTCCTAGTTGTTATGTTACCACAACTCCAAAGCTGTGGCAGCCGCATGTTTTGAGTGCGGTAGGCTGTGGTGGGCTTTGGGGACCTCGCAGCTGGGGGATGTCAAGGCAGGTCCTCCCGACAGCCGTCACCAGTTGGGGTGACACCAGATGTGTCAGCAGTCCCTTCCCAGGTGGAGCCAGGGTCTTCATAAAACTTTCTTCTTGTGTTTTCCAGGTCTACAACTCGAACAAGGACAACCAAAGCGAAGGCAGTAAGTATTTCTTTCCAAGCCAGACCCCTGAGAAGGTGGCTGTGCTGTGTGGTGTGCGGACTGGGGGGGGTCAGCAGGAGAGGCTGACCTGCCGGCGGTGGGGGCACCAGGCTGTGCTGTGCCCCCCTGAGACAGGGGTGTGGGGTGACAGGGCAGTGTGGGGACCGCAGGGTGGCCCCGGGGAGGAGCTGGGTCTGCCACCCGGCAGGGAACTGCTGCAGAAACTTGGTGGTGGGACCTGGGGCCATGGAGAGCAGTGCCAAGCCGTTCCCCTGGCACTTTGGGGTGCGTCCCCTCCTGCCTGCTCTGCGCCCTCATGTCCCCGGGCAGCAACAGCGGTGCGGGGGGTGCTGGCGTGCCTCAGGACCGCTCCTTTCACTTACTGCAGCCAACGAGTGCAGACGGTGTCCTGGACCAACCAGCTCTCCTTTCTGAACCAGAATGTGGAGGATGAACAGGCCTCTTCCAAAGGGGAACGGGAGCAAAAATATAAAGAGTGTGGAGGTCCCATCTAATCAGGATTGTCAACAACAGCGCCTAAAAAAACTGTTTTTATTGTAGTTTGGGCAATCAAAGACTTGAGTCAAGAAAGCACTTGTTTTTCTTGTTAGAGGAGCAGTTGCACCTGGTCCTGGCTCTTATGTCCTGTGTTTGAAAACCCTTAATTGAGCCATTTCCCAGTAGGTTTGAATTGCTGTAATTGCAATACTCAAAACTCTGATCCCTTCCCTCCTTCCCCCAAAGTCATCGGTCACACGGGAACCCAGCCTGGGTTGACGGTTAGTAAGTAGTTCATTTTTATGCTGCCTCAGACAGGGCATTTTTGTCTTGAGTAGAAGCATTTTTCTCATAATAATAGGTATAATTTGCAGATAATGTTCCTCGCACCCATTTTCAGTCCTTGCACAGAACAGTCTCTTCCTCCACTGCTCTGTCCGATGTGGCTTCTCCCTTCCTTGTTGGTCCTCCATGTTGTCAGCCGCATGTCCATCTCATCCCGTACGCATTCCACCGGGCTTTGTGCCACCCCGATGATCCTCGCAGAGTTAAATGCTATGCCTCATGCCGGTGAAGGACATTATGGCTCATGCCCCAGCTGGATGGGAAGCCTGCGTAGAACAGCTCCATCTTTTCTCCATTTTACAGAGGGGCAAAATGAGTTTTTCGAGGCAGAAACAGCAGGGCTTGCTCAGCTCTGTCCTTGCCTGGCCATCAGCTGTCACTGCTCTGTGTTCCCTGCACACAGCCTCTGGCTCTGCCAGGACAGTACGTGGTGATTTGGCTCAAGGAACATGTTAAAATCACCATTTTCTAAACTTTGTTGAGGGCTGATGCAAAAGCAAAGAAAACATTAGGGATGGGGGTGGGAGGAATGATTGGTGAAGCAATTGGTGAAGTAATTACCGCTTCTGAAAGAAGCGCTTGTCAAACTGTGACCTTCCCATGTTACGTGCTGTCAGCCAGCTATTCTCCTGGGGCTGTGACTTACGCTGGAGTCATCCTGCAAAGTAACAGCGGCTCTTTTAGAGATGGTAAGAGCTTGAGTCAAGTGTGTCCGTGACTTTCCCAGGGTTATTTGGATTGTATGATCCCGGTCTTCAGCTGCCAGGCTTGCAGTGGATCCCAGGTCGGGGCTCCTTAAATGCCCCTTTAGGGTTTCCTCGGGGCAGGGCTGGGTGATGGTGCACCTCTTGGGCTCTTCTCTGCCCGGCAGCTTCTGCGCCCGGAGCCCCCGCTCCTGCCCGTGGTTCGTTGTGCACAGCCCCATGGAGGGCCCGCGCTGGCAGAGGCACGGGCAGCACCACACTGGCCTGCAGGCATCTAAAGAGGTTATTTTCATGGGCTTAACGTGAAAGGGGTGTAGGTGTCGGAGGGGAATGTGTCACTCCATGGGGTGCTGGGCTGTCGGGGGGATGCTGGGCCGGCCCCCAGATGGATCCCCAGCTGCGTGCCTGCACTGGGGCTGTGGGACACCGGTGGCTTTGAGGAGAAAGCTGGTTTGTCCCTGGGCTGGGGGCAGCTCCCGTGTCGGTTCTCAGCCCGGCCCTGGGCTGCCTGTGCCGCTTTGGGAAGTTGTTTGTTTGTAGTGCTGGCGGTGACTGCAGCCCCTGTGTCCGTCGTGCCTCTCCGAAACAGCTCAGCGTTTGGCAAAGTGTAGTGAGACTTTGACAAAGACACCAAATGCCAAGTTTCTCCCTGCACGTCTTCGCCAGATGAGTACGAAGCTGGGGTTTAATCAGCTGAGGAGGTTTTGGCAAAGTTTCTTATCTTTTAGTACCTCTGCCATTTTGATGGTGCGCCTTAAAAATGAGAACAGTCCCTTTTCTGCTCTGTAGACCCTCCGCCCCCCACTTCGGGGAGTGCGTAGGGACCCTCGGCTGAAGGCTGCTTCTGTAGCAGCGCTCCCCAACCGTCTGGTGGCAATTATCGTCACATGCGCCTCTGACTGGGGCTGCCGCTGGTATGTTCAAACATCTGACTCTGCTTTAGCCCTCATTAAAACCATGTCTGTAGTGAACTGCTTGCCTCACCAGCTACACTTAAAAATTGATTGGGAGACTGGCTTTTTGCCACGCAGCCCTTGATGCGGGAGTTTCCTATATGGACTCGAAAGGAGTGCAGTGATTGAGTGGAGTCCGGATGCAATTCATGACCCTGAAAACCTGTATACCTCTGCTTCCTCCTGCACTTACGTTACTCTGAAGGAGACTCACAGTGCAGTAGTGAGGTCTGCTTTTTGGCCACTATCTAATTTTAACAGAGCTTTTGGGTTTTACATCCTGCTGTGTGGCCAGATGGCCATCGGCCTACGGGGTGATTTGTCTTAATCTTCTTTGGGAGCTGGGAGGAAGCAGTGCCGGGCGGTGGGGGCGAGGGGGTGTCAGTGAACCGCGAGAGCCAGATGAATTTGGATGCACTGGTTTGCAAAGCAGGAGGACTTGCCCTGCTCTGTGGAAACAAATCCTCCAGGACATTTGTGCTTATTGCATGGAAAATCACAGAAGAACTCCTTTCCCTTCCCCTCTCCACCATTTCCCCCTCATTTTTCCGCTCGGTTCCCTGTTAGTTCAGGACCCCGTCAAAAGCTGTCTTTATTTTCTTAAGCTCTTCATAGACCTCGAATCCCTTGACTGCCCCGTCTGCTGGTGCGCTTGGCTGGGTGGCCTGGCCCTCCCCAGCAGTCTTCATTTCCCAATCTTGGCAGCTCACTGGTACTTTGAGATGTGAAGTAAGACTTGAAAACTCATTTCTTTCTGGTCTCTGCTTCGTGGTTTCTCCCTTCTTCTGGGGCTCTTAATTCCATAAAGTCTTTGAAAGAATTTGTGGCAGTAATCACTGTGGCACTTCATTGCACGGCACAGGCGCGTGTGGTGGGGTTTGCAGGAGCGCTTGCTTTGACCTTGCGCTGCTGCGACCGATGCGTGCACAGCTGGAGTTAGCGAGGTTGCCTGAGGCTGAATGGAGCTGATTCGGTCTTCTTACCCCCTTCCCGATGCCCTGATATGCCATATCAGCATAAAGTAAAGGAATTAATGGATTAAATAGAAATAATCTGCCAGGCAAAAATAGAACGGGATGAGACCAGCTCAGCAGCACGAAAAATATGATGCTACATGAAGGTCAGGTAAGTGTGTGTGTGCAACAGCTGTAATACAAGCGATGGGTATCACCTTTGCTGATGTGAAATATTTCTCTGCCAGATTACAGCATGAATACTGCATCTCAGTTGTGCATTGGAATGCTGCTCTTGTATGAAGGGCCGGCGACATGGATCCTGCCCTGGAGCTGTTTCACATCTTTCCCGGGGGAAGGAGAGCCTCGAGGGAGGGGGAACAGCAGGAGGCAGGGCTGTAGGCTTTGCACCTGCAGTGGGTTTGAATGCATGGACAGAGGAGAATACCGCCTCTGGTACCAGAAGAGTTTGTAAATCCACTCCCTGTGATGGCCGAGAGGCTGCCGTAAGCGTACGGGATGGGGATTAGGGGCTCCTGTCGTAGAGAGCGGAGAGGCGTGTTGGCCATGCGTTTCTGTGGCGGCCCCGAGAGTTTGCTCTTCCCCTCCGCCTTCCCTCGCCCAGCTCACGCAGGAGGCAGCTCCACGCCGTGTCAGTCCATCTGAGCGTGGCCAGTGGGTCCTGTCCCTCCCGTACACACGTTCCTGCCTCTGCCTTGCTGCAGCAGCAGCTCTTGTTGAGGTCAGCAGCTGAAGACTTGGGTCTGGTGGGGTTTTTGACAGAGCAGGCTTTTTTATTACTTTTTTTTTCTTTTGTAGTTAATCTCGGTGAGCCCTCTCACTGCACTAGTCCTGCTGCGAGGGCATGGGGGAGAGCAGGAAGGGGGACGGGACCCCAGACCCCACGTCTCCTCCGGGCAAGCTCCTGCCCCCAGCCCGGGGCGCCCGCCGGCTGCCTCCCCCCCTCTCCCCGCTCCCTCCCCTGCGGCTGCTGTCAGACAGGAGCCAAGGGGGGTCCAACTGCTCAACCAAAGCTCGGGGCTGCGGGGGGCTGCGCGGGGACGGCGGACGGAGTGAGCGTGAGGAGCAGAACGGCAGTAGATATAAATGTGACTTTGGTCGGTGCTGTTGCTGAACTGCATCGTTGGGTGAAGGAATGAGATAAAGAGAGGCTGCTTCTGCTGCTGAGGAAATCAAGCTTTTACAATGCTTGTTAAAAGTCAAATTTAAGGATGAATAGAGGCGCTTTGGATATTTAATCAGATATTATTTCTGGATAAAACTACTGCAAATAAATCCCTGACCTTTCCTGATGCGGAGCTCAGCAACAAGTGGACGAGCTTATTCAGTTGCTTGGGAGGATTCTGTGTGGTCACTTCCATCCAGAAGGACTGCTTGGTTTCTGCCTCCGCTATCGCCCAGCGCTGCCGAAAGCTGTGGTCCCAACCTCTTGCTGAGCAGTGGGGTGCTGGGCTCTGCCTCGTAGGTGCCTTCTGCTCACATTCAAACACGTGAGGGACCGAGGGACTGCTGCTGGTTTGTGGAATGGGTCGGCAGTTGGAGTGTGGGGCAGAGAGCCTGGAACGGCGAACCGTGTTGGCTGGAGAGCAGTGTGCAGGGGCACCGAAAGATCACGGTCACGGCCAGGGCTAGGCCAAGGCATGGGGCATACAGCAGAGCTGGGGAGGGACTTTTTACAAGGGTATGTAGTGATAGGACGAGGGGGAATGGCTTCAAACTGGAAGAGGGGAGATTGAGATGAGATATCAGGAAGAAAATTTTCCCTGTGTGGGTGGTGATCCCCTGGGGCAGGTTGCCCCGAGAAGCTGTGGCTGCCCCATCCCTGGAGGTGTTCAAGGCCAGGTTGGACGGGGCTTGGAGCAACCTGGGCTGGGGGGAGGTGTCCCTGCCCAGGGCAGGGGGTGGCACTGGATGGGCTTCAAGGTCCCTTCCAACCCAGACCATTCTGTGATTCCACGAACAAGTCCTGCTGTACCCAGTCTGCCTGCACAAAAGGGTTTCTGCACGGTGGTTTCCCGCTTCTCAGGTACCCCTGTGCTTGTGTGTATTGGTGATCGGGGGTATGGTGGGCTGTGCCCCAGTGGTCGATGGTGCATTGGTTTGATGGTGTGTCCGTGCTTGGGGAGCAGTTGGGAGCAGCGCTGGAGAGCCTTCCCGCTGCAAAGCGCCCCGGAGCTTCTGCGTGTTCACACATCCTATGGCAGAGGCATCCTGCAACTTGTGTGCTTACGTTGGCTCAGCACTTCAGTGTGCTTGCCCAGAAAAATATAATAGACCTGATTTACTGTTTCACTGTTTCAGGTTCTTGTGCCATTCATCACACAAGAAACACCCCCAGCAGCGAACGCAAAACAAGTGATTAGCGAGGGACGGCACCATGCAAGCCATGGGCGGCCGGGGAGCTGGCAGCTGGTGGAGCAGCAGTGAACCTGTGTTTAAATAAATTATGTGAACGGGGGGAATGCAAAGGAGTAAAATTGCACGTGCCTTGTCGTGAGGACACTGGCAGCCCTGGGCTGTGCTCTCGATAAAGTACAGGTTTTTGTCTCTTGCAACAGGGCATTCCCTCAAGTCTGTGCAGACATAAAGTCATCTGCTTTTAAGCCAATGCTATGCCTTTGCTACCTTCTGGAGTTCAGCATCTTAAACGGTGCAGCTGTATGGAGCTGCGCTGTGTGATCCTGGAGCATCCCTCTTACCAGGAGCGGCTGAGAGCCCCGGGGCTGTTCAGCCTGGAGAAGGGAAGGCTGAGAGGGGATTGCATCAATGCTGATCAATATCTAAAGGGTGGGTGGCAAGAGGTTGGGGCCAGACGCTTTCCAGTGGTGCCCAGTGACAGGACAAGAGGGAACGGGCACAAACGTGACCATCGGCAGTTCCATCTCCACCTGAGGAGGGACCTCTCTGCTGTGAGGGCGGCAGAGCAGTGGCAGAGGCTGCCCAGAGAGGTGGGGGAGTCTCCCCCTCTGGAGCCATCCCAAACCCGCCTGGACGCCGTCCTGTGCCACTGCTGGAGGTGCCCCTGCTCTGGCGGGAGGTGGGATGGGGGAGCTCCAGAGGGCCCTTCCCACCCCCACCAGTCTGGGATTCGGTGATCCTCTGTCAGGTGCAGTCGGGATGATCCCGCACCTTGTGCGTGGCAGCGGGGAGTGGAGCGGAGCGGGTTGTGGTTCTACCGCAGTCCCTGGTGATGCTCCTCCTTTCTGCTGGGTCCACCCTGCCGTGGGGGCAGCGGCATCGCCGGCAGCTCGAGGGCCAGCCGGGGCAAAAGGTTCTTGCTGGAGGTGGCAGGAGGGGAGAGGAGAGGGGGACGATTGTGTGCCCTCCCTCCCGCAGCCCCAGCCCAGGGTGCTCATCCCAGCCCTGGAGCCCGGGGGGGACTTCGCACACCCCTCTCTGTGGGACTTCTGCCATATGAAGGGTTTCCCAAACTTTTATATAGAAGGGAATTAATTTTCCTTAACAAATAGCTGTCTGCAGGCAGTGTTTTCCACCCGGGGCTGGAAAGCTGACTAAGGGATACATGCTTCCAGCAGGTAGTTGGGTCTGTGTATTAGTAATTCCTTGAAATTAAATGTGAAGACCTGCAACGGCATGAGTTAATTGAGTTCTGCATTCCGTTAACACAAATGTTTTAGATCTTACTCTTGGGCAGAGTCAGCTGCCTTCAGGACATCCTAATTTGCACCAAATAAATATTTCATTTGTGCTAATAAAAGAAGGGGCTGTTCTTGAACTGTGCGCATCTGCATAGAGTGAGGGTGAATGGGATGTAACGTGTAGCGTTCATGAGACAATATTGTTTAGCTCGGCTTTTGCATCGCCGGGGGCGCGGAGTGTCTGCCTCAAGTGTGGCGCAGGCAGGGCACAGGCAGGGCGCAGGCATCGGTGGGGGCCGGGACTGGCGCTGGCTGGCTCCCCTGGGACAGGTCCCCTCCTGCTGGGCACAGGAGATGCTTCAGACAGAGATTTTACCCCAAATTTGTTCCCATCTCCCAGTCCCTATTGCTCTTCCTCTGCCACATGTCATTAGCTCTCTCCTCTTTGTGTTATGTTTTTACCTCCACACTTTCACCTTTGTTTTGACTTTTTTACTCCATTTTCATTCACCGTTGCTGCTCACAGTTATCTCCTGCTTCTCTCTTCCGCTTGTTTCTTTGCCGGTTCTCCTTTTACCGTAACTTTTGAATGCTCTCGGCTGTTGTCGTGGACAAGCTGTCATATGGCTTGTCCTTGAAAAAACCTGCATCTGCCCAAAGCCACCTCAAAAGCCCCAAGAAGAGATCCGAGGCAGCGAAGGGCCCCACCGCGCTGCCCCGGCGCAGCCTGGGAGGTCAGTCCCGACCCCAGCCACGCAGGTGGTCCCCAGCGAGGGGTGATGGAGATGGCCTGGAGGTGAAGGCATCTCTCCAGCACACTGATGGCTTGGTTAGCTGGGCGGAGAGCTGAAAGGATTTGCAGGAATTACCAGGGGCTCATCAGCAAGCTGCTTCGTGTGCTGTTCTCAAGGGTTTGTTGTGTCAAAAATGAATAAGATTCACGTTTTTTCCAAGCAACCTTGTGTCAGCTTCCCAGACAAAGGTCTCTTCAGGTTATCTCCCCTTCAACCTAAATTAATATTTTGACCAACTGCAGACGTAAATCTCTGGCGGAGCCCGGGGCTCTGCTGCTGGGCAGGCGTGGGAGGTGCCGGTTCAGAGGGGTGCGGAGGCTGAAGTGATGGATTAGCGTTCTGCGCTTGCCCGGGTTACACCTGGTGTGAGCTACTGCGCTCGTGCCTTTCCTCCGTGAACACCTAATTTATCTCCTCCTCCTCCCTCCCCGCCTCGTTCGAGCAGCGGTACAGTGTTGCTGTGAATGTCAGCGAGGAGTGCGGGATGAGCGTTGTGCTCGGTGTGACGCCGTCCCTCTGCTGAGTGTTTATCGCTTCTCTCTTCTCTTCCCTTTCAGCTGCCCAGTTGGATAATATCGGCTTCAGCATTATCAAGAAGTGCATACATGCTGTCGAAACAAGAGGTAGCGCAGTTCACCAGATGGTCTTGTTTTTGGGGACGGCCTTGCAGCTGTTTGTAGCGGAGCGATTGCCTACCTGCTCTTTTCGTGAACGCAAGTGATTCATTAACCCGCGGAGACCCACATCAGAGGAACCCCGTAAAACACTCAGACAGACGCCTTTGCTGAGACGGGCGCTTGCCCCGTGGCCGGGGTTGGCGGGGGCTCCGCAAGCCTCAGGGCAGAGTTAGGAAATAACGCACTGGACGTGCAAGGCAGGGGAAGGGACCGGAGGTGGGGACTTCACTTGAGCATCCCTTCGTGCGGTACCACTGCAAACCACCTCCTCTCCTGTGGGGTAACAGATCTGGGTGTCAATCCTTCCCCTAATCTCTTGGGAAGGCTATTTATATACAGACGGGCTGGCTCGTTAGCGTCTGAGCCCCCGCACAGGGAAACAGGGGTCTGGTTCTTACGTCCTTTCTGAGCGCGCTGCTACCTGCACGTGGTAAGAAAGAGGCCTCCCAGGAAACTTTGGGCTGAGGAGGACTCTGAGCTGGCAGTATTTCTGCCCATGTTCTGTCACTGGGGTCTTCTTCCTGCCCATAGGCAACATCATATGTTGTGGGCTATTCAAATGTGACTTTTTCCCCTGTAATACCGGCAGCAGTGCAGAAACTGCAGCTGAGAGCAAAGGAGCACCTGGGAGCTACCGGGCTTCCGCAGCGTCCCGCAGGAGGGGGAACACCCAGAGATTTTCATGCTAAATACAGCTCCCTGTAACATCCAGGTCACAGGTTAAAAGTCATATGGGAGCAAATAAATTAAGAAAAGAAAGAAACAGATGGGTAGATGAGACCAAACAAGTCAAGCGCAGTTCTGGGGGAAGTTTGGAGAGCTCTGGCCGGGGCGGTGTGGGACACCCGACCTGCGGTGCTTCGGTGGGAAGGGGCTTGTGTCACCGTCTCCTTTGGCTGCTCTCTGCCCTAGCACGTTGTTTGGTTCTCGTTGTTCCCTGTATGAAGAACATGCACAAGTCCCAGACCTCAACCTTGAACAACTTGGCACAGGAAAATTTTCCAAAACTGCCCTTGTGTTGTGTGGGGAGCGCAGATCCGTCATGGTGCAGCCGTACTCCCTCGCTGGAGTGGCGTGGTGCAAAGATGTCCTCGGATCTTTTATTACTGAGCTAGTTGGGGGGTCATATTTATAATCAATGCATGAAAGCCCTGACATTAAAATCAAATTTACCCTCTTCTGTAATTTTGTATGGAGTGAGAGGGTTTAATTATTTTTGCTATTAGAGAAGCCAAAGAAATGAAAGAAATGTCAGTAGCTCTTTTGACATTCTCCTAATAAGCTCTTTGTTTTTCCTAGGGATCAATGAGCAAGGGCTCTACCGAATCGTTGGAGTAAACTCTAGAGTTCAAAAGCTGTTGAGTATATTAATGGGTAAGTATCTCGTATTTTGTTAAAGGCAAGTAGATTGTGCTGCTTTGAAGTCTCGCCAGCCGAGAACGGAGGCTCTTGTCGGGGTACCTAATCGTGGTGACTGTGCTCTTAGGGCCACATGCTGTTAGAGGCCGGGAGGTCCCGGGGCACCACTGGCAGGTTGCTAAGGTAGGACTCATGGAGGACATATTGCTTTAAAAGGTCTTCTGGTGCAGTCACTGGTGTCCTGCTCACATGCGCTGTGAATTTTGGCAGCCTTCCCAAATGCAAACTAAAATCTTCAAAGAAATAGCTGAAAGCTTTGGTTTTTAATCTCCTACCTGCCACGTTGTTCCCAGAATACTTTTTAATTATTTTCTCTTGTGTGTTGCATGCTGCCTGTGGCTCTTCTGACTTTCCCCTTGGACCGTCTTGTGCCTGTTTTAACATGGTCTTGCCCCGACCTTTCAAGCATGTGTTCCCCTCCTGCCTGAGGCACCGGGTCCTGCCGTTCTGGGTGCTCGGGAGGAGAGGAGGTGTCGGGTCACGCCGCGGCAGAGCTTGCTGTTGACATGGTGGGGCTCCTTTGAGCACTGCCACCCTGCAGCTGCCCAGCAGCCCTGGGAAAGCCCTCCCCACCTCTGGGATGGTATGATGGCAGGAGAGAGGCTGTGGTGGTCACTACAAGCGCCTTTGTGTTCTGAACCGGCATTCCCTCGTCTGAGGACTGGAACGCGTAGGAGCAAACAGGTCTTGCGAGTGTCAGTGAGCTGGTAGTTGTTCCTGCTGCAGGTCGGGGACCACTACGGCTGACT